ACCTAGAAATTGACACAAATGGGTCGCAACTGCCAACGCATATAATATTGTAATATGAATGTATATAAACTGATTTACATGCAATCGTTTCCGCTTTTACTCTAATTTCAAATCAGGCCCCGCGTTCACAAAGCATTCTCAGACTTAAGTTAAGAATTTACTCAACTTTCAATCACTGTTTATGAAAAATATCTTTGATCTAGAAACACAAAACTTTACACATGGTTGCTTATTGATGTATTTGATACATTAAAACATCAAAAGTTTAAAAAACGGCTATATTTTAGTTAAAATAAAGCGAGCAATTATGATTAAATTCTTAACGTAAGTCATAAGAATGCTTTGTGAACTTGGGGCCAGTTATCGACGGCGAAATATGCCAGAAGTCTCAATCGAATGGCAACCTCTAACTTCTAGTTATTCCAGTATACACACCGATAATATTTATTGTGCATGCTCTCCAATTAAGAATATGACGTCACCGTTTGACATGACCACAGAGTAAAAATATTTTTACTCTGTGACATGACTTGTGAAATATGTCTAACCTCGTTCTTCGAGTCCTTTGTATTACAAATGACACTGAAACGCATTATGGTACACGGCTCGTGTACCAATTGTAAAATGTTTATTTTATCTTAAATATTGGATATCAGAATGCCATCTTTACCCGGTAAGATCACAATATCAATGTTGATTTAAACTGACAAATAATTCGTGTTTTCAATGTCAGGACTTTGGATGATATTGAGTTAGAGACGACTTAGCCACTTTAAAGGGACAATAAGACTCTTGCTGGCTTGACAGCTCCAGAAAATAAATATTAGCCTTATTCTAAGTACTAGATGTTTATGTGTCCTACCTGTTGTGTAAAGTATCCGTTACATCCTATTTTACTTGTCCAGAGGGTTCGAAAATATTTTTAAATCCAAGTCACATTTGAAAAGGTTTACGTTATGCTTTTCAAATTATTTAGTTCAATTTTTCCAATTTTTCAAATTAGGTGTGTTAAGATGAAATTTGTATCATCAATTAATTGGAATATTGTAAAATAGTGCAATTTGTTGACTAGAATATAGATTGGGACATATTATCCGGTTACAACAAGAGTGGTATTGAGCCTTTAAAAGACATTCGATTGTATGTAGAACACATCAAAGTAATATTCGTAGCCAGTGGCGGGGTCACAAAGTTTTCCAAGTAACTCAAATCCTGACGAGCAGCATGTAGGCCTACAACTAAAATTAAGGGTGACACTCTTGTTTACAGGCTGCGACAAAGGAAATCATTAAGGAAAGAATTAATTTCATTTTATTGATTGTGAAAGCTACATTTCTTATCACAGAAAACTGTCAAAATCAGAAAATTGGATCAAAGGAACTCAAAATTTTAAGAAAACAGATTATATTTGGTCGACACAAAAATGCAGCCCAGTCTTTTAAATTATCCATCCGTCACGTGACAGAAAACACGTGTTCAGGGAGAAATGATATCACCCACAGGAATTGGAGTGATGACAGAAGAAGACTTTTATCACGGTTTGACATGGGCATTCTTCAGACTAACAGGTGAGTAGATCTGTTGGCTAAATTGTCTATTTATTTTATGGTTTCCATTGAAGCTTGCATTTACGCTAATTCTTTTCTGAGATATTTTAATGATCATTTGTTCTCGTATCTAAATCGTTGGCTGCGTGTTTGCCAAAGAGAAAGAATTAGAACCGCAGGTGTTTGAAGGAATAATGGAATTCGAATTTCAAAAATTATTTTACTGTTTTTGACATTTTATATTTGGGGTAATGAACTTACACCTGTAGTACAAATAGAATAAACAAATCCAGTAATATACACGTATTTAGGTAGATTTTGATCTCATTTTTGGTCGTGTAGACTTGACTAAATTTCGCCATTTCTTTGAAAATATGGAATTGAATCCATTTTTGAACTGAAATGGCTATTAGAGATTCGGTAGTATCGTAAACAGGGCACCCTACGAAACTACATGATATTCAACAGTGATTAATACCACAATATTCAGTTCCTTTAGTTGAAAAGGTTATACGTACAGTCTATCTAACTAATTTCAATTCAAATTTATGTTGATATTTATGGATAACAGTAACATAGGATTTAACATGACCAGGTCCAGGTTTAAGTGGCAGGGGCTAAGTGAGAGGGATGGAATGGCAAGCTTTGCGTCATGGTTTTGAGTTTTTGCGCCCCCTCGCAAATGGCAGCAAATGGCAAAAAATCACGTGGTTTGTCTGCTTAATAACATTTTAGTAAATACTTTTTGGCCCATACAATATTTGTGTATAATTTGAATTAAAAAACACTGTCCTTTGATATTGGAGTCTGATTTATATTTTTTAAGTGAAAGAGAGTGAGAGAGAGAGAGAGAGAGAGAAATGGGGTTTAACATCCACTCGACACAAACTAGGTCATTTCGGGACTAACAAATGGTTCAATTTTATTTTCATAATTTGCTTGCGCGTAGCTGTCTTTAGCAGTGGGAGGAAACCGGAGGACCCGGAGAAAACCCACGAGGTTGGACAGGCGACCCTACTCCTTTCCACGTACAACTGGGGAATCGAAACCACGCCAGTTGACTCAATGACAGACTTTATGATACAGCGCGCACGTGCTAACCATTGAGCCATCCACCCCTTTTTAAGTGAAAGCAAGGTATCTTTATTTCTAATATACAAACATTAATTTAAAGAGGAATTATGCGAGATTTAGAAATGAAATGAAATGGGGATTAACATCTTACTGTTCTGCTCCGACTGGGCTAATGAAGACGAGCATGTACCATACAGTGTACTATGAGAGAAAGGGATCTTTTACGTGCATGCCAATGTGTACACGGGACCTTGGTTTTTCGTCCCATCCTGCACCACTGACAAGGGGAAACCACGCTGGAAAATCCTGATGAACTTTCTCGGCAAATGCAGGGATCGAACACTTGATCTCCAGGCTAGCGAGCCAGTGTCTTAACCACTTAGCCATCGTGACTCCGCAAGATTTAAACTATAAAGGTTCCAAAATAGATATAGAAAAATAAATATTTTGAAAATTTCAGTCAAATTATTTTATTTTGGGCAGAGTTATGAATGGCTCCGTTTTATAATGTGGACGTATTATGCCGTCACCCCTGTGTGTGTGTATCGCCTACAGGCCATAATTCTCAATGGATCATCTTGAAACTTTACATACTTATCCTTATGCCTTAAGAATGATCCCAATTGTTTTTGGATCATGTCCGACCCCCAGGGGCAGAGCCATGCCCAAGTTTTGTATTTGCTTGTTTGTCGTCTACGGACTGCAATAATGAACAGATCGACTTGAAACATTGTATACTTATTCCTCAATCTGATTAAAATACAGATCTATATTTCGTTTGTTTTTTTTTATACTTTCGATAGCCTACACTACATGAAGATCTGACTGGCTGTAGTGATAGGTCGCGTCAGAAGTCATACGAGCGGCTTTTGACCCTATGACATCATACATTTGATCAACCAATCAGCATTGATGTTTCTAGTGGATTACCCACAATTCCATGCACGCCAAAAGCTTGCTGTAACAGGCCGATTCATTGGCTAAACCCTCACATCCCAGAACACATCAATGATAACTCTTCCAGATCCTAGTGTAGTGAAGACAAGTAAAAATTTAGCTCTTGCATAATGCCTCTTAAAGGGCTTTATGGATTAGTAGCACAATATATCTTTATATTGTACATAATGTATATTTATATAATGGAGTTTAATACACATCATGGGGTGGAGTCCATTGATAACAGATATCATGAGTTAAAGGGGCACATGTATAGACTATCTACCGTCTCTTCTGTAAGCCATATACTAGTTTTCTGCTAATACTGGGTCGTCTTTTAAAGATGGAGAATATTAACTTTTATAATGTAAAGCCATTAAAGAGCTGTTATCACCTTCAGCACGACAAAAAAAATATAATTATTTCTGGATAATATGATATAAGATGGCTGTTCATGCTATAATAGTTCAAAAATAGATAATGAAAAATGATTATATTGAAAATTTCATTCAGATTACTCTATTCTGAGTGAAGTTATGAAGATTTAGCGTAGATTGTTAATTTTCGTAGCCACAGTACTCGACAGTCGAGAGTAAGGCTTGATTATCCACTTTACCATTAAATTTTTAAATCTTGCAGGTAGTTTAATCCATTTAAATCTTGGTCTTCCAATGTTCAATAGAGTTGATTGTAGGCTTGTCATGTGAACAAATGTCTAATTTTAACACTCAAAGCCAAATAAAGACCTGTAATAAGCAGATTTAGGTCTTAAATAATGTATCTTTAAACATCAAAGCAGTAATGTAGCTTGGATGATTTGTCATTAAACTCCCTGAATAACAATTTAGATACGTACATGTAATACAATTCATTTCCCAAACTTAGATTTAAAACATCCTTTTCTCAGCAATGTGGATTACCAAATTTGTTTCAAATTGTGCATTCAGTCTTTTTTGAACACCACCACTTTATAATCCTGTTCACCAAATTTTGTTTCCAGCCAACATGTTAAGAAAGTATGCTGCCATGGCACTGCCCTGGCAAATTTCTCAGAAACCTACCTTTGTCCATTGGTTGGAAATGAAATTCAAATTAGACTGTGAAATAAAATTATGACTTCAGAAATTGTTACAGTGCATGTATTTTTTAACACGTGAAGTGAGAAGTATTCATAGATATAATTATTTTTTTTCTAATAGGTGTAATAGTAGTGCACCTTTAAACTAGAGGCCAAATTTATTCTAGGTCTATTTTACAACTAAATTCTTGCTTTACTCTATATTGACAAGAACAAATAAATAGCCTGATTTCTCCTCTTATCATTGGTAGAGTTGTGTCTGTTATGGACCTGTGTTAAGCCAATGATGTGCTTTGACTTCATTTAAAGGTACCCATCGGTATTTGAGAGAATGTATACACACTCTGTTACTCTACTATGAACTTGAAGCTATACCTCAAAGAGAGTGTTTAGTACGCTATAAGAGCTTGGGGTGTAAACATTTGGATTTGTAATGTGAATGTAAGAGATTGTATTGTTTTTGCATAGATAGTGTGAGGACTTAAAGACATATGGAAACACATGTTTGAGTGTACTCAAAACTGCTATTACTCTTAAAGTGATTTAGAGACTTCTAATAGACACACTTCTATTAAATTTTTCTGGAAATTCCTGTATAAACATTTTATTATCAAATAGTATTGAAATATTACTATGCATTAAAGCATTCCATTACTTAGACTGGAACTAGTTTTAATATGATTTTAAAGACACCTTACTATCAAAGTAAATGAATTCTTGATGATCAGCATTTAAGATTCTTCAGTTTAGTGTTCGGTCATCTAAATACTGTCCTATGTCAACATGCCTGCTTAAGTAAATAAGTGGTTTTCTAAATTGTGTGGATGAAAGGATTTAAAAAAAAGGATTTTAATGTTTGGGTTAGTTAGGTGACATCTGTTGAATAATAGAGTTTTGTGGTGTTAAATACACACTTTATCTTGTAAATGTTTTTAACATGTGTTAGGATTGAAATAAAAAGTGTTATTTCATGTTAACTCAATGTAATTTCTGCTAATAGATAACTCTTTGAAGTGGATTGTAGAACTTTTAGTTATATTAATTAGTGATAGTGAATTTGTGCACAATAGTTACTGCTTTATCAATTTCCATTGATTTAGTGAATAGGATTATCAAATTAGTGACATACCAGTTACACTAAAATATACTACTAATTGAATAGTTACGAAGACTAATGGAAATAGGTATAATTGTTTGAAAAGTGAAATTATTTCAAATTTTCATGAATTGTAGAAGAAAAATAGTGATTTCTTAATCCAGTACTTTATTTATAACAGCAGTTGAAACCAAGTGATTTAATAAGTGTGACAAGTCCTTTGATAAAGCTAATTTAAACACAAAATATCTCAGGATCCAGTACTGATAAGTGCCGTATCAATATATATCAGTAATCTAAATGTAAACTTTGAGTTTGACTTGATCAAGTGTTGTTTACTATAAGAGAACTATTACCTATATCTGATCTGTCACCTGATCTAGGTAAAGATATAGATCAAGGATTATCATACCTGTTGATGTACAGTGATTGACAGTCTATTATTTACAGGTAAGGCATTGCAATTCATAGGAGAAAAGGATGGGGTTTGGGGTAGAATGATCAAGACATATTTTTGTTCTTCTTTTTAGTGGGCAGAAGAAAAACACATTTATAGTCAAATTTAACTTTGTGATATCCTAACTTTTTAAATTATTGTTATAATTCTATGTCTACTGTCAGCAGATTTTCTTGCAATAAGCAACACACATGATTTGGTGACTGTATTTTTCTCATATGTTAGATTAGATTACAATAAAAGGTACAAATTTTCTGGATGGTAAGGTATAGCCACAGTTTTAAAGTGAAAAGGTTAGTTATACCCATGTTATTGATAAAAGGAATTCAGTGTTACAAAAAAATACCTGTGGATGGCTAATACAGTTACATGTATACAATTCAATGCAACAATGTTATTTAACATATTAGTATGCTCACATCCAAACTATGCGATAGTGTCCAAATTATTGATAAAAAAGATGGTGATACCATTTGGCTGAAACTGTGTAAAACCGACTTAAATCTGAAATCAGATATCTTTATTGCCGCGGTATATATCCCACCACAAAACTCCCCAATATGGAACAAAAGACAGTATGATCCTTTTGACGAATTGGAGAATGACATATTACGTTTCAAAAGCCAAGGTAAAATTATTTTAGGGGGTGATTTCAATTCCAGAACTCATGTTTTAAGTGATGTTTATTTTCCTGATTCTGATACTTGTAGCATAACTAAGCCATATCCACAGTTGCTTAATGACATACCTGATAATGAATTTTTAAAAGTTAGGAACAACCAAGACCCTTAAATCAATACCTGGGGTAGAGAGCTTATTCAGATTTGTAACAACACAGATATCTGTATTCTTAATGGCAGGTGTATTGGGGATATACTTGGTTCGTACACTTGCATAAACTACAATGGTCAGAGTACTGTGGACTACATTCTTACCAGCCTCTCTCTATTTGATGATGTCCAATTATTTAAGGTGTCTCCGTTAAACTACATGTCTGACCACTGCTTAATTGAGTGCAATATTGTTGGTACATGTACTCCATATCATAATACATGTAAGATCCCCCAGAGTCCTAAACCGTCCTTATCCCAACCTGACCTTATCTCTTATAAAACGGGTAGTACTACTAGAAATAAAATTAAAGTAAGGAAATTTATTTGGAAACCAGACTCGGATATTTCTTTTCTAAAAGAACTACAAAAACTCTCAACAAAAGCTAAGCTGAATAATTTTCTAATGACCCCTTATACAAGTAATCAAAATAGTATCCAAGAAGCGACTACAGACTTATCCAATATCTTAATAGATAATACTAGAGCCTGTGTTAGATTTGTGGTGGTCAAGAAAAAGAAAAAGAAACATAAATGGTTTGATAAGGACTGTCAGAAGTTAAAAAGAGAAATGATAGAAGCCCAGCATAAATTTAATAATAATGTACATAATAGGCATTTCAGGGAAATTTATTTTAACAGAAAGAAATTATACAAAAATGTTACTAAATACAAAAAACGTCAAGAAAAAAATGTTATCCTCAAAAAACTCGCTGAACTTGAATCTAATAATCCAAGGGAATATTGGGATCTTGTGAACTCTCTTATTAAAAATAAGCAAACAGAAGATAGTAATATTAAACTGGATGACTGGCAAAATCATTTCACAAGTCTTTTTCAAAACAACTCCCCAACCACTAATGATGATAAAACGGAAACTTTAATTAAAACTTTGCTAGATTCTAATGCAGAAAATACATCCCTAAACAACCCAGTCTCTGCCGATGAAGTGAGAACAGCCTTTTCGAGCCTTAAAAGAAACAAATCTGGTGGGCCTGACCTCATACTAAATGAAATGCTACTCATGTCACAGGAAATCATGTTAGATCACTACTTGAAATTATTTAATCTAATTCTTTCAACGGGGATCTTGCCCCAATCTTGGAAAAATTCCTTTATTGTTCCCATTCATAAAAAAGGAGATAAAAATGACCCCAACAATTATAGAGGGATAGCTCTAGCTAGCTGTCTAAGCAAATGCTTTTTGTCAATCATAAATCAGAGACTTACAAACTTCCTTGAGGATAATAATGTCATAGATGATGCACAGTGCAGATTTCGTAAAAATCATAGAATTGTTGATAACGTCTTTATTTTAAAAACCTTGATTAATAAATGTAAGAAGGAAAAAACTGATTTGTTCTTATGCTTCGTCGACTTCTCTAAAGCCTTTGATTCAGTTTGGAGAAAGGGCTTGTTGCTAAAATTACTTCAGCATAATATCAATGGGAAAGTTTTCAGTCTAATTAGATCTCTGTATAACTATACTTCTTATACTGTGAAAACCTTAGATGGTCTGTCAAAAAATATAGAATCGTCCTTGGGTGTGAAACAAGGATGTGTCCTTAGCCCGACTTTATTCAATATATATCTAAACGACCTGCAAACTTGTTTAAAAACATTTAATTTAAATTTTGACAGCCCAGATCTTGACTCGCATGAAATATCTCATATTCTTTTTGCAGATGATCTTGTTCTGTTATCAACATCATCTGTCGGTCTTCAAAATTGTCTTGTATGTCTCAACTCTTTTTGCACTGATTGGAAACTTAATATTAACTCTGCAAAAACGAAAGTGATGCTTTTTAATAACAATAAGATAAGTCTGAAAAACAAATCCCAATTGAAATTCTTTTTTAACAATCAACTGCTCCAAACTACTGATGAATATCTATATTTGGGAGTCTATATAACGAATAACGCATCCTTCAAAAGTGCGATAAATGAATTAAGTAAAAAGGCTAGGAGGTCATGGTTTGGTATCCGTCAGAAAGTGTGCACCGATGATCACCTGCCAACCGAAGTACTCATAAGACTGTATGAAGCAGTAGTGAAACAAATAGCTCTGTATGCCTGTGATGTATGGGGGTCGCAAATATACTATTCAAAAAAAGTAGGGGATATTTGATTTTGGGGGCATAATACTAAAATATGCAAATGACTACGAAAAAAGTCACTATAGAACCTAACAGAAGAAACATTTCCAGTTACATGTGACGCCCAAACGCACCAATAGCTACCGCATGGAATGCAGGTGATGCTTGGGATCATCATGGGGGTCCAACCCAAGATTTGCACGACTCTGACTTTGAATGTTACAGTCATTGTGGCATTGAATTCCAGGGTGGAAACATCAGTTTAATTGTTTTAGTGACCAGAAAACAAATTTTGATATGCGTCGGCTTACCCAAAATGAAAGGTTACGTGCCCTTGGCATGCTACAGATCGGCACAACACAGGCGGTTGTGGCGAGGACGATGAATGTTTCTCAGTCTGTCATAAGCAGGCTATGGTCCAGATACCGTGATACACAATCTGTACAGGACAGACCACGCTCAGGTCGACCAAGGGCGACAACTCAAGCCCAGGATCGATTTATCCGTACATTGGCCTTGAGAAATCGTGTCATCACAGCAAATCAGATCAGCGCTCGTCTTCAAACAGACACTGGTGTGAGAGTGAGTGGCCAGACGATTCGGAATCGACTGCATAGGGGTCACCTTCGCGCCCGACGTCCTCGCGTGATCCCTTGTTTGAGAGATCATCACATTCAGGCAAGATGTCGTTGGTGTAGGGATCGTCAACACTGGGATAATCGACGCTGGAGCAATGTGATGTTTTCAGATGAGTCAAGGTTCACTGTTGATTTTTTGGACAGGCGTAGGAGGGTGTGGTGTCGTCGAAACGAGCGCTTCCAAGACGTTAACGTCATCAGACATGATCGATTTGGGGGTGGTTCTGTTATGGTGTGGGGAGGCATCACTGTTGCTGGAAGAACGGCTTTACATGTTGTTGCAGGGCGTGTTACAGGCCAGTACTACCGGGACAACATCTTGGCAGTCCATGTTGTGCCATTCGCACGACGTCATGGCCGCCGTTTCATCTTCCAGGATGACAACGCAAGATGTCACAGGGCCAGGATCGTTACAGGTTACCTCCAACAACAGAACATCACCACATTACCTTGGCCAGCACTGAGTCCCGACCTCTCCCCCATCGAGCATGTCTGGGACATGCTTGGACAGAGGTTACGACAACGTCAACAACGTCCTGCCAATGTCCAAGAACTTGCTGCTGCGTTGCAACAGGAATGGGACAATCTGGACCAAATTGACCTTAGACGTCTCATTAGGAGTATGCCACGTCGGATCAATGCTTGTTTGGCAAACAGAGGAGGATTTACCCGTTACTGACTTGGTTGTGATGCTGTGGTAACTTTGCTGTTTGACCCCGGGTATCATTTTACCCTTAAAATGGTCAGTCTGTGCCTTACTTAGTCTAACGATCATTTGGAATAAATCGATGAATGTGAACTTCATTTCATTTTGTCATTTGTTTCTTCGTCAGTTTCATTAGGTGACTTTAATAACACTTAAAAATCAAATATCCCCTACTTTTTTTGAATAGTATAGTACATAGCAGAAATGTGAATTTACACAAATGGAACTATGTGGAGCATAATAAAATCACAATAAAAACTTGCAAATCCATTTTTCTCCAACCCAAAAAATCATCAAACATAGGATCATTGGCTGAACTAGGTATCTTCCCAATTCAAATTGATATTTACCAACGAATGTTGCTATTTTATAAAAGATTAAATACACCCGACATAAAACGTACTAATCCGTTACTATCCGCCGCATATGTGGAAGATGTAGAAATAGGCAAATCAAATCCCAAATTATCATGGTCAGCAGCAATATCCTCCCTCATGGACCAGTTCAACTTATCTCCCTTGCAACTTTCAAAATCTAACATTCAAACGGCCATAAAGTCCCAATTCAATACTATTTATAAAACCGAATATATTTCTGGCAATTCAAAACTTAGAACTTACGGCACTGTAAAACCTACTATAGACTATCCAGCTAATTATTTGCTTCATGTACACAATAAAAACTTCAAGTCTGCTATGACCGCACTACGATTGAGTTCCCATA